AACTATAAAATTTAAATCACCTATGATCTCAAATCTTTCTTATAAAGTTATCTACTAAATCAAGCTTTATTTTCTTAAGAAATCTTAATTTTATATCTAATTTAAATGTTCAATGTTTAACTCCAATGTTTTGACATGCTTGACACTTAGTCCAAGTTTTCGCCGTAAAGCGCTACAGTCTCACAACACATTTTCGATGAAAAATGTTAAAACTTTTAATAATTAAAAATCTTTTAATCATCTTATTAATTCTTATCAAAGCAACTAATTCAACCGAAATTAGATCATTCTTAAGAATGGAAATCGTCCATAGTGGTTTTCACAGGTGTGTTTATCATAAAAGTCTTCTGATTTATTATTGTTATTGTTTAATTTTTTTCTATTTCTAGAGAAATAAATTATTACTTAAAATTTTCACCGGTAGTAAGCTGTGATTTACTACTTGTCCAAGATATTCCCAGTTCAGTTTATGTTGACAACGATCAGCTTTTCAATCTTAATAGACTGAATAAGCTTAAAACTTTTGTGAACAGTTATGTTGATGTGGAAAAATCAACATCAAAGGCGGAACCTTTTAAAGTTTTTATCTACAGTCAAGTGAAGAAAAATCTTAACATAACACTGCCAGTTCACTTCCGATATCATGATCCTAGCGATAAAAAGTTCAATCGAGTGGAAATCGAAAGTCCGAAAGTTTACATAGCAAATTGTTATCAAAAAGGAAAAATTCTTTCACTGCCATGTCAGAATAGCACAGATTTTACAGACATTATAGACATCTCAGCAGTATCTTACTGCCCCTGGATTGAGACTGAAATAGCACCGATTACATTGAGTTTCCTTATTCCTGTTGGTAACATCTATTCCTACACGTACGTACTCCCAGTAACGATATTTATCAGTTGGATTGCTTGCCTCGTCCTAACTCACGTCATAATCAAAAAGTCGAGGGAAATCAACAAAAAATTGTTATGAAAGGATAAGTGAATTAAAATAATTAGAATTAAATAAAAAATCCAGCATTCCTGTAGTTTTAAATAAACAAATTTTGATTAAATTATGAAAATACAATTTAGATTTATTTTCCATAATTAGACATTTATATGGATAATTGAAGATTTATTTTGTGAATTAGATTCTTACTGCTTATTCAAGTTTTCAATATTCCTTTGCAAGCATTGACGCCAGAATGCAACATGTTTATCAGCTCCTTCTTTGTTGAATGCATAGTACTCTAATTTTCGCATTTTGTTCAACCAACGAGTAAAGTTTGGAAATTTTTCTTCATCAATTGGGATAAGCTGACCACCAGACTCCATCATGCACCATAAGTCAAGATCGCAAAGTGTCATTGTGCTGCCAGCTAAATATTCGTTTTCTGTTAGGAAGACTTCAATTGTTGCATATCCACGCAACATTTCCTTGATCTTGTATTCGGCGATTTCAGTTTCAGGTCCGAAGAAAACTCTGAAAAATATTTGATAGCCTCTCGGAAACAAATAACTTGCGATATAAAACAATCGTTCATGAACTTTTGTTCTTAACTTCAAATCCTTTGGATACAATGAATCGTCTTTCGCAAATTTCTCAACCAAATAGATTGCAATGGCATTCGAGTCAAAAATTTTGGTGTCATTATCAACAAGTGCTGGTACAGTTGATGTTGGATTGATAGCTTTGTATTCAGGGGTCATATGATCTCCTTGTGCCAAACTTATCATTCTATAAAACATATTGAATTACTTTTTGTTGGAATTTGCAAAATTTGATCTATTTAGTACTTACTTTGTATCTATATCAACTCCAAGGTGCTTCGCAGTGATATAAACAAACCTTGAAGGTGGACTCAAAGGTGAATAATATAAAGTTGGTTTTGACATTTTTAATCTACAAAAAATATTTTTTTATTATGATGAACTTTGCACAGGCGCCGGTTAATAGAAGAATTTCTCTCTACCTTTATCAGGTTTTTAATTTATTCTTTGGAACCTTCTCACAGATGAGTTCTTCTTGATTGTTTACTCGAAGTTCGAGTTGATTTTGGATAATTATTTAGAAAAGGAGAGAGAAATATTTATAAAAATAATTTATCGAATCACTGTTTTATCTTTTTTATGCAAATAAGATCTCTTTGAATCAAAACAATTAAATTTGCTAACGAAGCTTTTATAGCCTGCGGTGAATTATTCGAGCGATTTCAACTTTTCACCACTTCTTAGTAGATATTGAGATCTACTTG